CTTTAGAAAGAAGGAAAAAACACTTTCATTCAAAGAAATCACATGCAACAGCAGTAATTCACAGTCAAAAAAAATGGTCCCTGAGAATACTGACTGGCTTAAAAACACAGATTATTCAGTCATTTTATGAAGCTCCCTTCCATTTCTAGCTGTTTTGTGCTAACTGAGAGCAACGCGCACAGTAAAAATCTTCCAGGGCCGATCTTGTGCGTCTTTCGTACAGCAGGCTTTTTCAGCGGTTCTGAAAATCAACAAAAACGTTTAATCCGTATTTAGCAAGACATCGGACTTCATCACTGCTGTTGGCACAGATTCCATCCCTAGGAAACATCTAGCCCTTCATTTCCCTTCCGTCGGCAGTCATGGACAACGTCATCATCGTAACTATTTACACTTTGGCTGTTTACGATGAAATCCGAAATATGTTTGTTTGCATTTGCAGAAACAGATGAGCATGTATTTTCGAGTGCTTGAATGGGTGTGTTTCGATGCTCTAGAATAATCGTTTTTTAAGAAAAACAAGCACAAAAATCTAGCAAGACATGGAAGTCAACTAAATCGAACAAAAGAGACTGCAGAAGAATTGGTCACCAACTGGATGATCAATAAATCAGCGACGGGAGAAGCAAATAAAAGTAGAAACAGGGAAGTATTCCCAGAGAAAATCATCCACAACTTCAGATAAAATTGTAAAAATGAATTTTGCGTAAGTTTTGCTAGTAAAAATTGCATTTCAATTTAAATTCCAGCAATTTTTCAGTATTCAGGATACGTGAACAATCTTACTGGAGAGAACTGTGACCATTCAGCAGCTATTTTTACAGAATCGGCAACATGGAGGCTGTATCTGGCTTAGCTTACAATGCAAATGCGAATAAACGAGAGTCAAACTTAGTCGACAGCGCATCGGCTACTGGTGCGAAGATGCGTTTTTTGTACAGCTCCCCACAGGCTTGTGTTGCTAATGGCACTGTCTTTTCCGGTAGATGCTTCTAGCTAAGCTAAGAAAATCGAGAGTAGCACCGCGACCGTTAGAAATTATTTCAGTGACTTCCAACCGATGCCCAAAAAATTTAGCATTCAAGCTACTCTGGTTGCGAAATTGCATCAAATTTCACGTATTCGTATGTGAGACATGAAATGGACGTGAAAGTTGCTTTTACATCCATCTGATCAGCGCCACCGTCGGTTATGCTGAGAAAGTCCTATCCCTCTAGCTGTTTCAATCC